CCTCATTCACTGAGAATGCACGTGGATTAATTTCACATCTTCACCACATGAACGGTGCTGCAGTTAACACAGGAACATAGATTTCTCTTCAGCACACTGACTTTATTTTCTTTGGCTACATGCCCAGTGGTGGGATCACCTTCTATTTTATATTAATTATTCCTTCATATAATTTAAATTTTGTGTTTAAACCTCCAGTGTTTATATTTTTCCAAAGTAAACTTCATCCCTGTAGTTTTTTTTATGATCTTTCTTGGTCTTAAAAAACCACTCTGGCCTATCTTCCTATTTATTTCCTGTAGGTTTAGTCAGTCTCTATCCTTCCAGGTTATCAGAGACAACATTCAACAAAAGCAAAGACCAGAGATCTGACCCTTTGCTGAACTCCTGGGTCTACAGGAAGTCAGGTTGAGGCAGGGCAATTGATCACAGTGCTGCCTGCAGTCTACTGATTAGTTTTTCTGTCATCCTAATCAAATAGAAGCTTATTTAATTCTTATAATAGCATCTGGAGACAGTGGACTGACAAGTTTACTAAAATTCAAATGTATTTACTAGTTTATAAATCAAATGTGGAAAAATAAAAGACTACCATTTTGCAGTCATCTTTGGTTTGTGCGACTCTTCTCTGACCATTAGTTTCCTAGGATTTTTCTCTCCATTATTGGCTCAGAAAATAAAATGTATAACAAAACAAAAGAAAACCACCCTTAGCCGGGCACACAGTCACTCATCTGTAATCCCAGCTACTCAGGCATGAGGATTGCAAAATTGAGGACAGGCTGAGCAATTTAGCAAGACCCTGTTCCAAAACAGGGGTGGGGATTAGGGACGGAGCTCAGTGCTTCATATATCCTATGTCTACCTGACCCATGGTCAATAAAACCAGAAAATCTGGAAATCTCTATAGTTCTTGAAACTTAAATAGCAAATCAACCAGAAAGTAGAGAAGAAAAGCAATAGTCAAATGGATGAAGACTTCAACCACCTTCAAAAGAGACAAGTAAAATAATAGAAAATGTAAATAATTTTCTATTCTCAGTCCTGAAATACTTAGAGAAGTTTTAGAGTTAGCAAATATGTTTTTGATTAATCATTGTTTGTAATTATTATCAAACTATAAAAGTTCTGAACAGGGGGATGGCTGAAAAGGTGATGGAAACAAAGGAAATTATTCCACCTTTTAGTGAGAAAAATAAGCATATGCTGTGAAAAAAAAAAAGACTTCAGTCATGAAAATCCATGCATCTTAGAAATGCAGCAGCGTTTCCCTAAGCCAGCGGTGGCAAACCCACAGCATGAGTGCAGCAGTGGGCTGTTGGCATCACTGAAAGCTCTAAAACGTTTAACTTCACTGCCAGCGGTCACAACAAATCCATGCTTTCAGCTCTGTGGGCTAATCGCATCACAGCAGAGAATACTGTTTTATGCAGTTCCTCAGCAAGTCCTTTTGTAAGTCAACAGTTCTACAATTTATTTCTGAAATAATATAAAGCTGCCTCAAGTAAATACTGTAATATTAGATTATCCGATATGCTATGGGAATTCAGAGGAAATAGTGACTCATTCCAATTTGGAGGAAGGCAGGAAATTATAGAATATTACCACAGGGTGGCTTTTATGTAGGCCTTTGAGGATAGGAAAATCTTGAAATTATTATATCATATTTATATTATGCATATTGATAGAAAACATAAAATATACATCAGTAAAAAGAACAATTCTATTAAAACTACCTATAACCCTACCACTTAGAAAAAAATGCCATTATTAACATGATTTTTAAAATATTCTATCATTTATTTATTTTAGGGCTGGGTGTTGAAACGAGGGCCTTCGGCATGCTAAGCACATGCTTTTCCACTGTGATGCACTTCCAGCCAATTCTGACTTTATAACTTATTAACCAATTATCATTTTATGAATATCTCTAGATTTTTCAGTTTGTTACCATTGACATTTGAGATATATAGATATAAAGATGTTTTAACACATCTTTGACTCTTCACCAGGTTATTTCTTTAGGAGGAATTCCTCAAAGTACAATTGCTGAGGGATTTCCCTGTAATCTAGTATCTTGTGTATGACCCTCTAGACATGTGGTGGCGAAACTATAACACATGAGCCATGGCAGGCCATTTCTATCCCTCAAAGCTCTAGAAGGGTGGCCGTCACTGCTGTAGACTCCGTTTCTCTGTCCAGCGACTGCACCACATTTCCCTTCTCCACTTTCAAATAGAGCAACTTCAGAGCTGCTTATAGTCAGTGTCTCTGGTTTTTCTCCTTTCTCCCTTAAACCCGTTCCAAATCAGGCTTTCTTCCAACCTCTCCATCCAAACTGCTCTTCCCCAAATAACTAATGACTTCCCTACACACTTGCTGTTGAGTCTAACACTGTTTTAGTGATTTTTCCCGTTGCTGAGACACAATAGCTGACACCTGAGAAGTAAAGAAAGAGGCTTGTTTGGGCTCACAGTCTGTAGAGGTTTCAGTCCATAGTTGGTTGGCTCCAAGGCAGGGTGGGCTGACACAGAAGCATGGCAGGGAAAAGCTCACAGCATGGTAGGCAGGAAGCAGAAAGTGCATTGGGGAGGAGCAGGAGGAGGAGGGAAATTCCTCCAGATCTCACGCTCAATGACCCCACCTCCCAATGACCCCACCTCCCAACAGCAAGTCGGCTATAAACCACCCTACTCCAGTTACCTTCCAAAAGCCTCACCTCAGAATATGCTGGGCTTCAGGGGTCATTTTAGATCTAACCATAACAAAGTTAAATTTCATCAAGCAGCTTATATGATTGATCATACGGTAGCTTTTGAGAGAGATGAGCAATCACTCCTCCTAGAAGAATTTCCTTCACTCAGACTCTAGTAAACCACACACTCTTGGTATCTGTTCTGGGTCACTGGCCACTCTGTCTCCTGATTGACCTTTGAAGGGCTCATTAAGTCTCCTACATTTAAGCACCATCCTCTTGCCAGTGAGTTCCAACCAGAGTCCCTAGACCAGTGCTTTCCCTTAAACTCCAATACACTGGAAACCTGCCTCATCCAGAACTTAACTCATGATCCTTCTGTGTTAAAAACAAAGCCGAGCTCTAACCCAACCATGACCTTTACTCTGTATGTAACAACAGTCATCCTATTTGCCCAAGCCTTAAACATTAGAATCCTTCTGGAACTTTCCTACACCACCTTCATCCTTCAAAAAATCTTATTTTCTGGCCCCTAAAATTCACCTAGAATCTCACCATCTCCACTGCTACTCCTCTGGTCCATTATTTCTCTCCTGAATATTAAAAAGACTCCTAATGTGACTGCCTTGGGCCTTTGCACCAGCTGTTCACTTGGTAGGCCATGTTTTTCCACACAACATCTGCCTGTCTGGGTCCCTTGCCTCTTCAGTCATTGCTCAAATACTATGAGACCTTAATGACTTTCCACTTTACAACTTACCCCTCTTTCAGCATTTGCTCTGTCCCTTCTCTTTTCCTACATTGCATCTATCGCCTTCTTGATAAATACTTTATTTGTGTAATTTGTTTCTATTGGTCTCCAAAAAATGTATCCATAAAAGCGGGAAATTTTGTCTGGTTTATACTCTACAGAAGAGGAGTATTTACTGCTTTTAATCCAGACTGCCAGTTTGCTTCTTAAGAAATGAAGGTATTTAAATAAGTTGATAAGGTGGAACAGGAATGGCCCATGTTGAGGCTGTAGTATTGGCAAGAGCTGCTGACATGAAGCCAAGCAAATGTAATCTGCTGGTTGCTAGGTGATATATATCAGGGGTGGAAATGCAAGAATTACTTAATGTAGGAGCACATCAATGAACGAGGCAACATTTTAATGAAAATCTCAAAAATCATCTCAGTCCACCAAAGGATGAGATGAAAAAGTCCCACACTACGATATTGATTGAGGCACTTGGAAACGTAGTAAAAACAGATCACGATAAGCGTAGCAAAGAACTAAGTTCCATCAGGAAGGGGCAACTGTCTTTGCAAATATGATGAAAACTATGAATCCTCGCCAAAAATTGCATTTATATATAAACTTTGGAAAGTCTACCATCCCCTGAAACCTACCCAGAGACCACCATGGGTAGTAGATGAGAACCATCGATAAGAGAACCAGAGGTAGAGAAGAAAGGAGGATAAAGGAGAGAGGAGGAGGAGGGGCCCATGGCCTTCACATTATGACAGTCACTTGGATGAAAATGATGCTTAGATGAGAAGATGGGTAGTGGCAACACTGAGTTGTACCATTGGAATAAGTATCTGAAGCTGAAGTTTACTAAAAGAGAATGCAGCCACCAGATCTGCTATAGTTTGAACATTTGATCTCCGAAATATAGATGGTGGCTACTATCATGGTTTGAAGAGATGGAGCCCTAGACCATGAATATTTCTCCTTCAGAAACAGGATTTTGGCTCTCATGAAAAATGCTTCACACAGCTTTCAACTAGCTTGCCCTCTGACTTCCTCCATGTGAGGAAGGAGAAGGCTCTCGTAAGATACCAAATTCTAGCACTTTGACCTTGGCCTTCCCAGTCAGCCACTGAACTGTGAGAAATAAATTCCTACCTTTTAAAATGACTCCGCCTCAAATATTCCATCATTTAACAAAACAGACTAAGCGTGACAAAACAGATTAAGACAATGTCGTAAGGTAAATAACACCCATGTAGAATTAAATAGCTCAAAGTCAAAACAAGGAACATTCACAGTGAAAGCTGCTCGTTTTACATTTGATAGTGATATTTTATAAAGTTCACAAGACAATCAGAAGGAAGACTATTTATGTACAAGTAATTTGATTTTTTTAAAAATTAAAATCAGCAAACACTCCAACCAAACAATCTAAGCTATTGTCTGTCTGGCTTCTGTACAACTTTATCATTAGGCATCATTCATCTAAATAATTCAGTAATATAGTACTAATGAGTCTTTATTTTTCCACCAAGTATCCCTTTGCTCTATACCTTAGAATCTAGAAATCATAAAAGAATTCAAGCAGGGGAGTTTTTCCTAATCAGATGCATCTCTGGGGAGGGTACAGTAAGGGAAGGAAGAGGGTCTTAGCTATATCTACATAGAAATTGCTGTTTACTCACTGATGCCATTCTTTGCATTGTAATAACGCTACAGAATGCAAAACTCCTCTGTCTGAAATCTACTCTATAACTGATATTTGATGCCAACACTTACAGTGATAAAGGCCACAGAAACAAATCCAGAGGCACTGTATTTAAATACAGCCAGTCCTGAGAGGTTCTCTGGTTAATTTCTTTTCCCTGTACCACTCATCAGAAGATGAGTTTACCAACAGTCATCAACCAAATACATCCACACTGGATCTAAGCCAATAGCAAGCAGTGCTGTGGAAGTCCGGCAGCAGGGTGGAGAGTGACCGGGGCACCAGCTGGATGACAACATGCGGGGACTCCTGGGCAGCAGCTGGAGGAAGTTTGGACATGCTGGCAGGGGGACATACGAGTGGTTAACCAGCGAGCCGAGCGTGCCTCTCCTGGAGACCCAGCTGCAGGTCTGTACCTACACTCTCAGCCTTTTCTTCCCTAAAGTACCTTGGTTGTCTGTATTTTGAAGATCTTAAAATTTAGTGGCAACATTTTGTATTATGGATATGACAAAAAGATGAGCTCACTGATTGGCAGCATCTAAAGGAAATAGCTTGAAAGTTCTAAGTTTCTTTGATCATGAAGCATTCAAGGGAGATGCAGCATACACATATCCTGAGAATATTTGCCACATCAACTATGTCCAAGAACACCTGAGGCTGGGAGGCAACAAGTTTCTGTGCCTCCGTGTTGCACTGCTCTTTGCTCAGGAGCAGCATCTACCTGTACAGAAATAAGAGCCTCCCTCTCATTCTCGGCTGTGTAATGAGCATTGTTTCTAAGAGCAGAAACCAAGCACCTTACTTAGAAGGAGATCAAGGGGTTAAGGAGGCTCTGTCTCTCACTAAGACAGCAGCTGCTGCTTTGCCTGGTCTGGCAAACCACAAAGTGGTCTCGCTCTAAGACAGCATTAAAGGAAAACATTTGTAGAAACCTAAGGCAAAGAAATATATGACTAGAGGAGAAATGAGTGACATTGCTGAGCACACAAGAAAAAGCAAAGTAAAATTATTCTCTAGAAATTTAACTGTAAGTTAAGTATCCCCTAAAACCACCCTTTATAGAAAAAATATATATAGCTATCTTCTATAGCAGTTACACCTTGGATATTTCTCTAAAATATTTCCTGAACAATAAAGCCTTTGAATAAATATACATGTAAGAGAAATATTAAAAGAAAAATCTTTGAGGATAGTAAATAAATTACAATGTTGACTAGAAAAGATATTCTTTCTGCATTAAATAAAACTAACAAATTAACTGAAATGCTATGAATAATTAAATAAACAAATTAAGGACACCACAATAAGCTTGTCCTACAGTTCTGTGCTTCTCTTAACTGGAAAAGAGTTCATTTCAAGAAATTGCTTTAGTCTGCTATATTGATAAGTCTCCTAATGGTTTTCTTAGTATTTGAACAAATTTAACTCAATGAGGGGAAACACTGATTGTGGCAAGGACTGGGCTATTTTTTCTTTCTCGAAATTTTGTGGTATCAAGCATACCACAAGTGGCATAATTTAAAATAATAATCTATTACCTAAAAGCTTTTAAATAGAACATTAAGTATCATCATATTCTGTGCATATTGAACTCCTTATGGGAAATAGAGTATTTAAAATTTGATGGCTACAACTGATCAGAAACCATTATCCATATTACTGATGTAGAATAAAGGACAAAAAATAAAATATGAAAAATGATCTGTGCTTACTGGGGTGGGAGAATTACTGCATTATGTACTAAAGGATAATTTTAACACATTTAATAATTCACAATGCGGAAGAAAACATTATAAATTTCTTTTTGACTCCAACTTGACTTCTTAATAATTATAATAAATTTATGGGTTCTTATACTTTTATACTTTTATAATCAAAGCATCTTATGTCACAAGAGATTTTAAATTATCTTGATATTAAACTAGATTATATATGAGAAAAGTATTCTCTAGCTTAGAAATATAACTTGCTCACACTCAAAAATATATTATTTTTCCTAAAGATACATTTACTAAAATTTGGTAATGCCAGAATTTATCTTCATTGTATTTTCCAACCTAATATAGATTTATAGCTTTCCTCTAATTATCTTAGTATTTCATTTTTGGTAAATTCCATCATTCGATTCTGTGAGATATAGGAACATATAAATACCCACTCTTCCTCCAGCACTTTACACACATTATTTCATGATATTTTCATGCTAACCCTCACAAACAGAGGTTACTATTCTTTATTTCATAGAACAGAAAACCTAGGCCCAGAGAGACCAAGCGTTCTCCACAGTCAGAGAGGGGACAGAAGGTCACACTGGAATTTAAAACCCAGGCTGTCAATCCCCCAAAATGACTGATGCTCCAATTCTCAGGAAAACCTTTCATTTTTATTCTGCTTAAGCTAAAATATCCTAATTCATCTGTTACCAAGAGCAAACTATCTGGCAGCATAAATATTAAATAAACCATCTAATTTTATGTCAAAATGATTATCCAACGTGAGAGAAGCCATCAGCTTAAGCTGGATAAACCCAGCAGAACTTTTGTCCTTGCCACTAAAATCAGAGAATTCCAGCTCTCCCAGTTATGTTTTATTTCTAATTACACAGATAAAAAGCTTATCATTTTGTTTATTTTAAACACAATTAGGCTTTTAAATATTTTTACCTAAGTGGTAGATATTAAGATTTACATTTGCCCCAATATACTTTATAATTAAACTCTTTAGTAGTTCCATTATTTCTTCATGGTTGTATTAAAAGCAATGTCCATAAAATCACAATAGCATTTTTTTTTCAAGGTGTTTTCAAGCTCTCATGTTGAAGCATCATTTCATGGCTATTTTTTGCTCCATTAAAAAGCATTATTTTGGTTAATACTACAAAATCAATACCTTTCAGGTTACCAAAAATATACATGATTCTTTGTCTTAAAAAAAAATCCACATTTATCCTACCAAAATTACAAAAACAAAAAGACTACACAAATTTGATTCATCATAAATGCCAGCTGTCCAGTCAGAATTCACTTATTTATATGCAATACAAACAGCCGCATGAGATTTTGTTCTGGAATTAAAAGAACTCGAGTCTCGGTAAGAGATCCCCCAAGAGCCTCACACACTCACGGGTGGGCTTCAGGAAGGTGACTGGGTTCCGGGGGGCCGAAATGACTCGGAGTTAGGCAGGGTCTGGCGGAAAGAGGCTGTCACTGGGGGCGCAACCTGGAAGGGTTTCTCTCCCCTTCCGATCTGCCATGACCTGAGCAGTTTTCCTCTGCCCAGACCCTTCCACCATGCCAAGGACCATGCAAAGCCTGAGACTTCTGGAGCTGTGAGGCAAAGTAAACCTCTCCTCCTTTAAAATGTGAGCGCCGGGTATTGCGTCCCAGCAACAACAAAAGTATGTCAAGTCCCACAACGATCCTTTTGTGGAAATAAAACATTAATCCTAGTAACTGTACTGTATACCTAAAAGGTACCAATAAACTCAATAAAAGAAAAGAAAAGAAAACATTAATCCTAAACAGAATAAGTACCTGAGTGGCAAGAGCTCCCACGCACAGAACAAGTGGTAGACTTCCCAACTCGAATTTATTCTAACGTCTGTACTTGAGCGGAAACTCTGGAGGGCATCATCAATGTGTGCTTTGTGACGTTCTGCTCTCGAGCTCCCTGTAAATTCGCTTCAGTGCACGCAGGCTCACGCTCCCGGGCAGAAGGGATGAGTACAGTGATCATAGGAAGCCACCTCAGGGCCGCAGACAGGGGCCTCCCTCCCTGGGTCCTAACTCGCCCTCCTCCCCCAACTCCAGGGCACCCAGAAGGCCAGCTCCACCCAGGAAGACGCCGAGCCCTTCCTGTGCATCCTCCTCCCTGCCACCGTGCTGCTCTTCCTGGCCTTCCTGCTGCTCTTCCTATCCCGGCGCTGCCAAGCTGTGAGGCCCCAGGGCCAGGTGTTCAGCATCGACCTCCCGGAGCAGCGATCCGCAGGCACAGGCGAGATGATGACAGAGGTGACCGACCTCCTGCCAGGCCTCCCATGGGGCAGCAGCGAGCAGCGCTACCCTTACTCCCCTCTGCCGGCTGAGGGCTCCCTGCACTCTGCGTGCCCTCCACCCTCCTATGAGGAGGCCACCAGGAACCCTCCTGGGGAAGAGGCCCCGGGGGTTTCTTCTGTGTGACCAAGGGGCCCCTTGGCTGGATGGGTGAAGTCCACCACCTGGGACGTGGTATGAAACATAAACTCTCAGCCTTCACCAGGCCCACAGGAGAATGGAGAAAATGGACATGTGGAACCTGAGAAGGGGCAGAAGGGACCCAAAAGGCCCTGCTGATCAGCACACCTCTTAGTTAGCCTATCTAATCTAACTAGTCTAACTAGTCCATCTGGTTGGTTAGCCTATCGTCAGGTTGCTCAGGGACCCACCCTCACAGTTCTCAAGATGGCTGGGCCTCCCCAAAATGTACCACACCAGAGAAAAATAAAGTTCTGTGAGAGTGAAAGAAAAAGGTTTAATTATTACTGAGCATAGGAAGAAGCTCTGAAAAACAAGAAAAAAGAAAAATTCTGGACTCGCCAAAGGTAACCACTTTTGTCACCAAAAGAACTTTTCCTTGGTGCACCAGTTTTCCTTAGAGCTTCACCTCTGTGTGAATGCTTCAAGATATAGAGAATTCTGGAAAGAGTAAATGCCAGCTCTAGCACTGCAGGGGCAACAATGTTGTAAATAATGAAATGTGTTTCAGTCTTAACAAGGTACAGAGATTGCAAATGTCAAAAAATAACAAAGCTCTCCAAAGTTTCCACCTTTGTAGTTAGTGTCAGTGCTCGTCTTCTGATTTGCACACTAGAGTGGAAGACGGACTTGGCTTGGCACATTGTGAGTATTGACGATGCCGGGGCAGAAGAGACAGTGGCTGCTATAACATATTATCTTATATATACCACTCTATATCATTATCTGTGATTATCTTAGCATATAGCCCTACTGCATAATGTGATGACACTTGTTTCTGAATTTTTTTTTTTTTTTTTTTTTTTTGGTACCAGGGATTGAACTCAGGCCCTTGTGCTTGTGAGGCAGGTGCCCAAACCACTGAGCTAAGTCTCTGGCCCCACTGTTTCTGAATTTGATCTACTCAGAGTAGAAATCAGCTTAACACTGGAAAGTCAAGGGCAAAATTTTGGTAAGGAGAAACAGGCCCACTTTAACAGAGCCCTTATAAATTATATAATTCCAGCTCTGGGTTTACAGACATCAAAACTAGAATTCAGAGAGGCCAAGTCATTTATGCCATATAAAAGTCATTTATTACCTTATAAAAGGCAGAGCTTCCTTCCACTAAGCTAGACCTTCTCCCCAGGGTGTCACACAGGTGGAATTTCAGTCATGCTCCTGATGGGGCTCAGGACTTACACAGAGAAAAAGTTTAAAAGACTTTTGCTTTCATCGCTTCTCAGCTTTTTGGCTAAGATCAAGTGTAAAATACTTTTGTTTTTGCAGTATAAAATGAAAATTAGGCAACCCATTGCTGATTCCCAATGATCAAAAAATAGTGGCTTTTAACTTTTTGACATGAACATTTTTACGCCAGATATACAATGTTGTAAACTTTTAGGAAAACAACAAAGGCAGCAAAAATTGGCTGTGGTTCTTTTTAAGTGTAATCTGATAGAAATAATGGTTGTATCTTTGAGGACTACAGCAAAACAAACTAGGTAAAAATCAATAAGATTTCTTTTAGAGAAATTGTATTGAATGATTCTCTAATGGTCTTTAAGAGAAATAAACAAAAAAAATGGAAATGCAAAACTCAGCGCATGGCTTTCTTCAGATTGTTTTTTAATCCTAAGCATTTAGTTCTGTGTGAGACTGTTGATTTTTCCCCAGTTAACATTCCTTCTTCCTTGAGATCAGAACCCAATTTGATTCTGTGATCCAGAAACCACAGTAAGGCAGGTTGGGCCCTTCAACACACCAGGAGGGACGTAATTGTGATTTCAATCCCTTTACCAGGCAGGGTCTGATTTAGTCTTGGGACTTACAGGGACATCTGCAAGACAGGAGGGGCTTTTCTGGAAAAGTCTGCCTTACTATTAAAAATATGGAAGGCAATACTCTTATTCTTTGTTGGATGTTATATGTTTGCACCTGGAGCTACTACAGCCATCTTACAACCATAAAATAAAGCCTCACTCACCACTGGTAATGAGAATAATAGAGAGGAAAAAAATGTGTGCATTTGTGACATTGTAGAACAGCGGAATTAACTAACTGCCTATATTTTAATGACAGGATATTTTTCAAACTGTTTAAGCTACTTAAAAGCCAACTTGCTACATAGAGACAAAAGCATTCCATCCAATGTCTTAAGACTACAAAGGACATATATTTCCATGTTAGTGCTCTGATAAGATTTACTTAAAATATATGATCAATGCTAGGACTTGTTTAAAATGTTATCAGTGATCTGGGAAAGAAAACATCTCATCTCATGGAACCAAACAGAAGCAGCAAAGCGGTAAAACTATAAACCAGGAGTTACTAAATTGTAACCCACAGGCCAAAGCCCACTTGCATAACCAGTGAAATGAGAATGGTCTCCATATTTATAAATAGTTGAAAAAACATAAAGAGAATATTTTTCTGATACATTAAAGTGATCTGAATCCAAATTTCAGTGTCTAGAAATGATGTCTTTTTGGAATACAGCCAAAGGTCAGAGTCAGTGTCGCGAGCCGAATTGCCTTGGGCAACTCGGTCTGCGACTACAGGGGCCTGAACTGGCGACGCGTGAGCAAAGAGGCACACACTTGATACACAAGGAGTTTACTTTAGTTCCTCATCTCCGGATCTCTACCCCACTCTCTCTCCGCGCCCGGAAGGGGTGGCAACATATATACCATAATGCAACCAATCAGCATACAGAGAACAGATTATTACCTTATAAGGATACATCAAACACCCATGGGAACATATCATGTGATCTACAGGAAAACTAAACCTAATACAAAATGGCTTCATAGGCTATATCATAAAATGGCGGAGGGGTGGATCTATGGTTCTCCACAGTCAGGGCAACAGGGAGAATATGAACTTCAAAGTCTAAAATATTTACTGTCTTGTCCTTTGCAGAAAACATTTGCTGGCCCTTGTGATAAACAGGTGGATTACAGCCCTGATTGCCTAATCGAATCACTTGGGGAACTTTTAGAAGTACCGCTACCAGCACCTACCCAGACCAGTTAAATAGAAATCAAGCCAGTGATTCTAACATGAAACCAGGGCTGAAAGCCATTACTCCGGGTAATGAGTGGGACCCAAAACAGAGGCGGCTTTCAGTGTGAACAGATGTAAGGTAACACGTTGGGAGAGAACGCGATCTGTAGATACAGTTTTTCCCCATCATTTCTTAAGTGACTTCCCATGTCCTGAGCTAATGACAGCTGCCAACAACTTAATTTACAAAGCGAGATTTTCGGGCAGGTCATGAGGCACATCCACAACAACAGTACGGGCTCATTTAAATGCTGACACAAGTAGCAAACACAGGGAATCCTGGTTATTCGTGTTCGAGGGAACACTGCAGAGTTGATTGTTAACTGCTAAGAAATATTAGGGAAGAAAAAACTTTTAGCTGAAAAAAAAAGATTAGGAATGGGAAGGAAAATAAAACCAGTTAATAGAATGTGGCCATTTGCACTAAAATCCATTACCAGACCAGAAAATATATTTCAGTCATCATTTTAGGAAAAGGAGTCGGCACATGAAGAGCTTGGCAGGGGTCCTAAAAAATAATAAAAATCTGACCAAACTGGAATCTCAGAAACTGTTTAGATCCAATGGAGGTCACAGGGCAAAGCACTGCCCTGAACACTAGAAAGATGGGTGGACAGAGAATCACAACATACCTGAACAGAAAGCCACAAGTGGAAAGTCCAGGAACCAGTGCGGGGGTAGAAAAACCCCATCTAATGGACAAATTGCTGGAGGCTCTGAGTGGGCAAGTCTGAGAGTTAAAAAAAGAAATCCAGGAGGGTAACTGCTTAAAGGCCCACTTTATCTTCAGAAGCACTGCCAAGGTTCTCCACAATGACAGAGCAAAATCTCCTTGTGCTTCTGGCAGGGAAGCACCCATTTTGAAATGCACCAGAACACGCTGTCCGTCTTATCGAGGCCCGCCCCTTATTAAGGCCTAACCACCAGAGGTTTATCAGAGCCTGATTACCCAAGCAAGGGAACTCCCAACTTCAGCTCTCTAGCCCATGGCTGAAGGGAAACACTCCATGCCGGCCCCCCTAATCATCCCAACCCACCTGAGAGCAGAAGAAACCTCAGAAGCACTTGTGAAGTTCTCAGTCCTGCAGCACGGGTTGTGGAAAAGCCTGAGACCCAATCACAGAACTAAAGAACACTACAGCTGTTACTACAGCTCCAGGTACCAGAGTTTCTTTCACCCAGTGCATCAGGCCCACCTTTCAACAAAATAGTATAAGATATTCTAGGTAGCAAAATCCCACAGCTAGAAGAGCAAGCCTCAGAGCTGGCAAGGATGTGGCAACTACCAGGCCAGAAACGTAAAGCAACTGCAATTAAGATTCTAAGGGCCCTAGGGGAAAAGTAAACAGCGTGTAAGAACAGATAAGTAAGATCAGCAGAGAGATGACAAGCTGAAGACAAATCTGCTAAGTCCTGGAGATTCAAAACACTAACACAAATGAAGAATGGCTTTAATGGGCTCATTAACAGACTAGATACAGCTGAAGAGAGCATCTGAGTTTGAGGATCTATGAAAAGACACTTCCAAAATGGAAAGCCAAAGAGAAAAGGAAACTGGAAAAAAGGAAAAGAAGACCCAAGAACTGTGGGTCAACAACATATGGTGTAACCCATACATAAGGCTAATGCTTGAAGGGGAAAGGAGGAAGGAATACTAGAAGTATTTAAAGTAATAACTATATATTTTCCCCAAATTACAGACACCAAACTGAAGATGCAGGAAGTTCAGAGAACATCAAGCAAGATAAATGACCCCCAACTATATCATACTCAAATGTGGAAAATCTAAGTCAAAGAAATCAATGAAAGAAGCCAGGGCCAGGGGTTTGGCTCAGTGGTTCCGCCACCTGCCTCTTAAGTGCAAGGAAGGGCCTGAGTTCAATCCCTTGCACCAGAAGAAGAAGCCATAGTGAAAGAACACCCTATTTAGGAGCAAAAATAAGAATTAATTCAATTTTTCATGCAAGTAAACAGGGTACAGCTTTGAAAGAAAAAGAATTCTATATCCTAATTATTCTTCTAAAAAATAAAGGAGACAAGGTCCTGAGTTCGATCCCTGGTACTGGAAAAAAAAAGAAGGAAAAATGAAGACACTCTCAGACAAAAATTAAGGGAATTTCTGGCCAATCCACCTCCTGGGCAAGAAATGTTAAAAGAAATTCTTCAGAAAAAAGGAACATGATAGAGATCAGACTACTGTCCAAAATATACAAAGTACTCTTACAATTCTACAATCAAAAGAAGAATAATTCAATTTTTTAAATGGGCAAAACACTTAGCTGTCTATTCCAAAAATACCTATCAATAGCCAATAAGCACATGCAGGTTGCTTCAAATCCTGTGAGATCTGGGAAGTGCGTATTAAAACAAGAAGATATTTCTGTGTGCTTACGATGGTGAAGCCCAAAATACTAACAACACCAAATGCTGGCAAGGGACTCTAACTCATTGTTGATAGTAATACAAAATGGTGCTGCCATTTGGAAGACAGTTTGGCAGTTTCTTACAAAAGTAAACATATTTCTATCCAGCAATCACACTCCTTATATTTACCTAAATGAGTTGAAATTTTATGTCTATACAATAACCCACACACACACATGTACAGCAGTTTTGTTTACAATTATCAAAACTCAGAAGCGATCAAGATGTCCTTCAGTATGTGAATTGATAACCTTTGATACATCTAGATAAGGAAATAGTATTCAACAGGTAGAATAAATATTATTCAGCACCTGAGTATCATTCAGCACCTA